AATGGCAGTGGTGAGCTTCAGCTAACAAAGAAACCTCTCTGCCAATGGGAGTCAGGGGCGGGCCCAAGGGCTGCCGGCGTCAGGGGCGGAGCCCGGGAGGAAGGGGCGGGCCCGACCGCCGGGCGGGCTCCCTGCAAACCTCTCACTGCCAGCAGCGCCTTCCCGAGCCTGTCTCGGCACCGGAGCCCAACCTGGACCTACTATGTGCCAGCCCTACCTCCCTCCATCATAGAAATCATAGGCAGCATTCCGAGTGCTTGGTAACAGGCACAGAGAAGTTATGAAATAGAAGGTAGGGTTTCAAGGGATGACTAAGAGAAGATGTCAGCCTCCCAGAGCTGTCAGTTCTATTATGGGAGACTAGTAAAGGCTGACTGTATGCCAGACACTAAACTAGGAATTCTCATCCCCATGATGTGCTTGAGGTAAGGCTCAAGCCCGACTCAATTTGTGCAGCCTCCTGGCCAAAAGACCACCTGGAGAAGAATGGAAGAGAGGCACTGGCAGAAGATGCAGGAGCCCAGAGAGGAGGAAATGCACTCCTTGGGGAAATAGGAGCCTTCAAGGAGGTAGGGAAGTTTGAGCAGATGGCCAGAGGTTGAGGAGGAAGGAGCAGGACAGACATGAGGGCCAGGCCACCCAGGACCTTGGGTCCAGGCTCAGGCGTATATATGTCATCATGCGGCAGCCAGGAGTCAAATATCTGAGTCTTCAAACAGGGGAGTGAGCTAACTCAACGCTCACAGAGGAGGTGACGCTGAAACGTGTATTAGTGGCAGGGACAGCAGCTGCTGCTTAGCGAATGGGAAGGTTCTGGGAGCGAGAAGTAGCACATGCTCCCAGAGCTGGTGACGCTCGATCCTAGGGAGGGAGATTTCAATACAGTAAGAAATACTTTCCTAAAAGAAGGTGGGCCAGGGTCCCTGCAGCCTTAGGGAGAACACGCAGCTCTATCCCTCACTAGCTCTGCCGCCTTAGGTAAGTCCCTTCATGCCAACTGCCTCAGTTACCTCATCTACACAATTGGCATGATTGTATGGTTGTTGTGAGCATTACATGATTAATGCTGTAAAATATTGAGCATAATGTGGCAAAATGTTAATTTGTGAATCTAGACAAAGGGTATGTAGTGTACCATTCTTGCAACTTTCCTATTGGTTTAAATTTTTGCAAAGTAAGTGTGGGAGGGGAGGGGGGAGCTGCGGGGAGGGGGAGACAGACAATTCTTGCTTGTATAGAATACCCAGAAACTGATACCAATGGTTGCCTCTGGGGAGGGGAGCTGGGTGGTTGAGAGGCGACCTACTTTTAATTTTCACTGTAAGCCCTTTTGTTCTCTTTGGATTTGATATTGTGTGAATGTACAACTTGTTTGAAAAGAATTTCTGAAAGTCCTACCATGCCTCAAGGCCAACTCCATGGCCACTTCCCTTAAGAAAATACTTGGCATGTTCTGCTCAGGTCCCTGGACACAGGCAGCACCTGCCCTCCAGGAGGGTCCACCGCTGGGGGCACACCGAAGCATTCGAGCCACGCCTGCCTGGAAGGAGCTCACAGTTAAGCAAGTGGAGAAACAGGAGGCCGACAGACAGATACAATCCAGGGAGCTATGGAGGTGCCTACAAAGGCACCCAGCTGCATCTGCAGCTTCAGGGACAGCTCCTTGCAGGAGGCAGGGCCTGGGCTGAGTCTTGAGCTGACTAAGACCCATCCAGGAGGAGGTAGAGACAGAAGGAGCTCAGGGTTGACACTCAGGGTCTTGAAAGCAATGGGTGTGTCCATGAGTACAAGCACCGTGATATGACTGGGTAGTTCAGAGAGATGAGAGTAACAGCAATGAGGATTATTGGGAGGATTAAATAGATGTGCATGTGGAGGTTTAGCATATGCGTATGAATACCTATTATGACAGATTGGAGTTCAGCCTCTTCAGGGAGATCAGTGTTGTTGTTGTATAATTATTTTTTATCTCCATTTTACAGGAAACAAACATGAGGCTCAGGGTATTTAAAGAGCTTGTCTGTGGTCAGAATATAGACCCTCTGAGTGAGGAGTCAAGCCCATCAGGCTGACATCAGAGTTGCCTGGGCAATGGAGAGCCATTAGCTCAACATTTTAGATAAAAATAAGGGCTGTTTGTCTGGAGGATGAATCAGAGGCAGAGGACTGGAAACATTATCCATCAGGAAACTACTACATTAGCCCAGGAAGTAGAGACGGCAGGGACCTGAACTAAGATAGGGCCAATGGGAGAAGAAGATGATGAATTTGGGAAATATTTCTTTTAGGAGATAGAATAAGTATATTTAATCTCTCACTGTGCTACATTCCAAAACTTGACTGTGAGCACCATGACAGCAGGACTGGATCCGGGTCCCTGCTGCAGGTCTAGTGCCTAGTTCAGTGCCTGGCACAGGGTAGGTGCTCAAAAGTGAATTAATGACCATTTACTGTTCTTTTATTGTCATATCTCCCACCCAGATTATAAAACCCAGGCAAACAGGGTTCCAGGGGCCTAGAACAGCACTAAGCACAAGGGCAAATAGTATAAGCAGGTGAGCATCCACTGGGCTGGACACTTAAGATGTGCTCACTTTGTTGCATATCTCAATGTATAATGTGCATCTCAAGGAAAAATAAACAAACATGCAAAGGTCTCTCAAGAGGGCTGCAATGCAGGTAAATTCTTCTCTATGCACCTGACAGCTGCCCTGGGAAGTGTCCTTGCATCCTGTGAGGGAGCCGAGCTTGCACACACACACACACACACACACACACTCACGCACATACGCATGCGAGTGCACTCAC